ATGCCTACTCTTCATGATTCATATGGTTGGATCATATTCTCTTTCAATCTCCATCTTTCCGGATAATATTGCTTTTGTAGTTATATGAAAGTCTCTCCATTTTCTTCACCTAATTTCTCTGGACCTTTTCCATTTTTGAAGCGTTTTTCTTGATATGATTTAGTGGGAAGAACACTGAGCTAGAAGCCAGGAATCCTCACTGTCACCTCATCTCTCAGATTATCTGAAAGATGAGAGGACTGCACTCAATAAATTTGTAATAGGTTCCCTTATGTCTCTAAGGGATATAAGGGATATATCTCTAACTCTGGGTCTTCCAGCTAGAAATCATTGTTTTCCAACAATTTCCCTCAATTTTTTACTCCACTTAGCCAAGGAGAGGCAAGAAGTTCAGATTAGCGGTTACCGAAGAACACGATAATCAGGAAGCCCAAGGCTACAAAAGGAAAGACATGACATCTTGTGAATCAGCAGAAAAAGATCCATTAATAAGAGAAATGAGACACCAAAAAGATACCAAAGACAGGAAAAAAGTCAGAAACACATGGCCTAACTCTAATCTCATTTCTACACATCTACTTGAAGGAGGAGTAAGAAATAGAAAAAGCTTTTGGCAGCAGGAGAGGTTATTCAGCCGTCATTTCTGCCGCAAAGAAGCAATGCAACTCTATGCCATATTTGCAATGTTGTTGATAAAATGGCCTGCTACAGTGCTTTGCACAAAATAGACATTACTCAGATATTTGGTGACTGAATTAATGTCCAGCTGAACGGAAAGCCCTCATAAATACTGGTACTGTTATATCCCAGAGAATCTGAGAGCTCAAGGCCATGGGAACTGGCTGCCCTGGGTTTACAGGGGAGTGAGCTGGGAGGGGGGAGATTGGGCTTTGCTTAAGCTATGATGATATTGGAAGCAGCCCTGACGAGGAAAAAGGACAGATTACTCAGGCCTGGGCTAACTCTAAACCACCAAGGCAATATCAGAATATGTATGAAAGTCATTTCCTACCCTGGTGTCAGGGTCCAGGAAAGCACCATCTTTCCTCACATTGCCTTCCAGAGAGTCGGGGTTTCTTGGCCTATATGACTGGCTGGAGGCAGAGGAGGAATAAGTCATCAAAGGGATAGGGAGTTGGGTAATTTTAAAAATTGCCAGCAAAAATTACCCATTGGGTACAATGTACACCATTCTGGTGACTGGTATACTAAAAGCCCTGACTTCCACTATACAATTCCACCACTATACAATTCATCCATGTAACAAAAAACACTTGTACTCCCTAAATCTATTGGGAAAAAAAAAAAAAAAAACCAAAATCCTAGCCTACCCCAATGGTGGTGTTTCTCAAAGTATGGTCCCTGGATCACCAGTGATAGACCAAGGGAGGGGGTGCTTGTTTAAATGCACACTCAGGGACCCATCACGGATGTTTAGCATCAAATTTCTGGAAGTGGTGCTAGGTTACTGCAACTTTATTATTAAGGAGCAACATTATGTTCTAGAACGCCAGCCCAGAGAATTTTTTAGGGGATAGAGGAGTTGAGGGTGAAGTTCTCTGACTCTGAATTTGTCACATCGAGTGATGTTACTACAACATTCTGTTTTGGGGACCACTAAAAAACCACCTCAATTTCTCAGGTAACAGTTGCAGGTAGTGGTTTAATAGCAAACAAGAGTGGCTCACACCTATAATCCTAGCACTCTGGGAGGCCCAGGCGGGAGGATTGCTTGAGCTCAAGAGTTGGACATCAGCCTGAGCAAGAGCGAGATCCCATCTCTACTAAAAATAGAAAAAATTAGCAGACATGGTGGCCCACGCCTGTAGTCCCAGCTACTCGGGAGGCTGAGGCAGGAGGATGGTTTGAGCCCAGGGGTTTGAGGCTGCGGCGAGCTGTGATGACGCCACTGCACTCTACCCACCACTGTCCTCTACCCGGGGTGAGCGAGACCCCGTCTCAAAAAAAAAAAGGTGGGGGGGGCTTGGAAATATATTTTCATAAGCTGGTTAAACAGTTCCTTTACAGCTTTGCTTATCATGTTAGCTTTTTCACTGGATTCTCATTTTAAAATCAATCAGTTCAACCCAGGAATTTTCAGAAAGAATCACAAACTCCGAAATAGAAGTTTTCTGAGAGTGCAGAACTGGCCTCGTAAACCTGTACACACTGTCTGCTACAGGAAGTAAGGTTTTATTTAAATGCAAATTACCGGTTAAGAATCTCGGTTGCACTCAGAGCCGCCGATGAAAGCCAGTAATTTGTGGGTGGCGGGGAAGGAAGACTCTGAAGCAGGGATGAAAAGACCGAGCAAAAGGCACTCTGTGCTCCCGAGTTGAGGAGGAAGTGCAACCGACTACCCGGTTTATTGGGCTCAATTAATTGCCAGAAAAAACGCGTCTGCATGTGTTTGCAGTAAACACTCCAGGGTTCGTACTGTTCCTCCCGGCGAGATAAGCCACCGGAGGCCTGCAGAAAGCAGTCAAGTTACACTTTAGCTGTCCCCGGGACTGTGTTTACCATTTCGGCAAAATGGGACCTCCCTTCCCCGATGGTCAGACTTTACCCTCAGCACGAAGGCAGGCGCCGGTCACCCATCTGCCGACGTTCTCCTCCCGCCGAGTTGAGTCCCGCGGCCTTTCGATCCGGGGGTCCGGGCCGCCGCGGGCGTCCTGAGGAGACGCCACCTGGTCACAAAGGCAGGACTCGGGCCACGCCCGCCGCCGCGCTCGCCCTGCCGGGTCTTCGCGCCTGAACCCGTCCCGCGCCGCCGCTCACTCGCCGCTCCCTACCACGCTCCAGCGCTCGGGACCGGAATCCGCCCGGGAGGCGCGCGCAGGCCGCGCCGCCAGGAGCCGCCGCGGGGACCGGCCGTGCCGCAGCGGCGCGCGCCCCCCGCCCTGGCCGGCGCGGCCACGCGGCTGAGTCACCCGGCGCTTCACGTTAAGAGTCCCCTCCGCGCGGGGCACGCCGGGAAGGCGTGGGGGGCTCCCGCCGGGAGCCGACCCGTTGGGGGCGGAGGGCGGTGCCCTCCTCCCCGCCTGTGCGCGCCCGGCCCGGGGAGGACGCGCTCTGCCCGCGCAGCCAGGGTGGATTCGGTTTCCGAGCTGCGGATACCCTCTCTCAATTATTAAAGGTCTAAGACGGAAAAGTTAGTTGTTTTCTGAATTGTAAAATAAGCTCGTGCAGCCCCAGGACAGCTAATGCTTACAGAAAAATGTGAAGCCCCGTCTCCCCATACATTTGGGGTCAATTTATGTAAGAATACTAGAGTTCCTTAAACGCATTTTGCTTGAAAGCCCCTATCCTGGATATGCTTTTTGGCCAAAAGAAAGAAAAAAGCCTCACGTTTTCGTCTAACTTGGATTCATTAAACTACTTTTTACGGCAAAGTTGAATTACAAATTTTAAATCAACCAGAAGCAAATTATTGGAAAACCGGCTGTGTAAAATATTTCAAGACAAAAAACAAAAGAAAGAAAATAGCATCAGTTCTTACTGTCATGGTTTCTAGTGGCTTTTGTAATTTTAAAAATTATACTAATTAAATATTCTGATTATGCAAGCTATGCTATTTTTAAATTGTTGTCGAAGGCTATATAAACTAACAGCATGATTTTTAAAATTGAGATTTAAATTTAAGGATGGTTTTCCTTACAAGGGAGCCTCTGAAAACTAATTTGGGGTTAAGGATTAGGATTGGCATTGAAATGGAAGGAATGTGAGAAATACTTTGATTCATTCTAATAGGTTTCAAATGATTAACAGATATTTGTATAGCAAAATTGCTTTACCATGGTCAACAATTTTAATTTTCAAAACTGAAGGTGTCAATTTTTCGTTATAATTGAGGGTCATTTCCCATTTCTACTCTGTAACCTCACTTACGATCATAAAGTATGCAGGGCAGTATTGTGTTTATCTCAGTCAGGATGGGCTAGGTTAAGATGCTGCACTAGTCACCTGTAAGTCAGCTGGCTGTCCCGAGCAGCTCGCCTCCGTGTGGTGACTCAGCACGCCCAGCTGCCTCCGTCCTTGGCACTCCATCCCAGCACAACAGGGATGGCAGAAGAGCTAGACTGGAGAATCCTGCAAGGATTTGCCTCTGCCAGAAGTGGTCTTTTCACTTCTGCTGACGTTTCATTGGCCTGAACTAGTCATATGGCTCCACCTGGCTGACCCGAAGAAGGCTGTGAGGTCATAACTCACTGTGTGCCTGGGAAAAAGGAATATGAAAGATTCGGTGAACACATCGGTATAAACCAATTTGAATAAGTGCTATAGGATCCAAACTTTACAACCGAAGTAGTATAGAGGATAGTTCAAACTAATGACTTTATTTCCATTTTAATAAAGTACAGTGTTATATATAGCCTTCTAGTAAAAAAAAAAAAAAAAGGTTTGATATTCCTGCAAGAGGATTCTTGAAACAAATTCTTCCTTTCTGGAAAGATTTCTCCCTGTAGATTTGTGACATACAAAAATCTGCCCCAAAGTTTGGAGAATCAGGCTAACTACTGTCTTTTTTTTTTCTTAAATTACTTTTGTTTTGGAAATTAAAAACTATTCATTAATCCTAGCACTTTGGGAGGCTAAGGCATAAGGGTCACTTAAGGCCAGGGAGGTCACAACCAGCCTGAGCAACATAACAAGACCTGGTCGCGACAAAAAATAGAAAAATTAGCCAGTCGTGGTGGCACACACCTCCTATAGTCCCAGCTACCCCGGAGGCCCAGGCTATAAAGGCTGCAGTGAGCTAGGATCAGGCCACTGCACTCCGGCTTGGGCAACAGAGTGAGACCCCGTCTGTTAAAAACAAAACAAAACAAAAAACACATACAGTAAAATATAATTAACACCCATTACTCATCATCCAAAATAAATGATGTCTTTTAATTAATAGTTAAGACTAAATGGTTCTATTTCTATTTTTGGCTTAAATTTAATTTAATGAACAGCATATCAGACCTGATACTTTTTCTGGGTACACATCAAGGAGATGGGGTATGAGAAATAAGTATTCACAGAAAGCACAGGTGTTTGCTGATTTTTATCATTTTACTTCCAATTTAATGTAGTATCTCAAAGCCCTGAATCTCTGAGCTCTGAGATGTATTTGTATATGAAGCTGAAACCCTTTCTTTCTTTCTGTTTTTTTTTTTTTTGAGACAGGATCTTGCTCTGTCACCCACGCTGGATAGTGCGATCATTAACTCACTGCAACCTCAAACTCCTGGGCTTAAGCGATCCTCCTGCCTCAGCCTCCTGAGTTGCTGGGATTTACAGGCCCGCGCTACCTTGCCAGGCTAATTTTTTTGTTTTTTTGTAGAGATGGGTTCTAGCTCAGGCTGGTCTCCAGATCCTCCCACCACAGCCTCCCAAAGTGCTAGGATTATAGGAATGAGCCACCA